AATGGACTTGCGCTAAATTGACATTTATTAAGTGAAAATATCATACAAATTGTAAACTTTTTTTTGTTTTAAAAAAAACCATTTTCACTTATAAATATCAATTTAGGTGCCTACGTATCCCTTTTTATGGAGAATCAAAGTCCACGTAGTTCTTCTATTTACGTACCTTCAATTCAGACGAGTGGAAGTCTCTAATAGTCGTACTCGTCTTCGGCCATCCCGGTACCGCTCGTCGAACTCGTGAAATCAGATGCGTCGTCATCGTCGTTGTCGTCCCCTTCTGGCCCGTCGACGAGCATAGCCGTTTGCGTCCTTCGTTCGGCCTTCTTCCAATCCATCAACAACATTTGTGGTTGTAGATTTTCAGGCGACAACCTCGACCGTCGTGCGTCTAGCATGTAACCTCCCTCACTGAAAGCTTGTTTGACCGCAATTATAGAGGCTGGAACAGCAAAAATCTCCTTGGCCATCAAACATGGAATAGCATAAACGTCTTCCATTTTTGACCACCAATCCAAGACATCGAAGTTCAGTGGCGCAACTAGTTCACGCGCAATCCTGAGTATAAAATTTGACGTAAGGTAGTGATCCAGGTCGTTGTATCCAGTCCCCTTTGTCCTTTGGGGATCAACATTCTTGTACGAATTTTTTTATGCCCACCACTCCTTGTAGTTTGTTGCGCCTGCTCGATCCTCGTAAGAAGAAGCACTGCTGCCGCTGCCGCCACGAACAAATGAGCTGGGATGCTCTCCTTACGCGATCGTTGTTTCCCTGAACATTTCATACAACAAATCTTTTGCTTGCTCGACGAGCAACCTAACGTTAGACTTTTTACTGTATTCTTCCACCTCAGTCGGCAGTGGGAGTTCAAACATATGATTATAATAAAAGTTAAGATTATCCATCAATTCAATTTCACGTACACTAGGATCTAACAAACATGCAACTAAAAATGTATCAGGAATATAAAAATAATATTTTAACCATTTCTTTAACATTTCACTTACTAAATCTGTATATTTAAAATAATAAAGTTTGTAAAGATCGGATAAAGCCCACATGATAGTTATACATTGACTTAATACAAGCTGAGCAGTAGGATAATAAACACCGGAAAGCATGGAAGTAGCATTTTGAAATGTTTCTGAAAAACTAATAAGTACTTTACAATTCTCCCAATCTGTTGTGGAGACTCGGATGTCACAATCCCTACGGTTTGGATCGTTAAAGAACTTCTCCAACACCGACATAAAAGGAACTGTGTCATTCAATATTTTATATGTTGAATTCCATCGTGTTGGAACGTCGGGTTAAAATTTTTTAGGTTTCAACCCTTCATTCTTAAAAAAACGCCCCCATGCTTTCATTTCTTGAGGACGTTTATGTAAATAAATAACAGCATTTCTAATTGGTGTGACTGAATCTTTAAAAGCATTATAACCAGCTTGTACACATAAATTCAAGACATGACATATACAACGAACATGAAAAAATCTTCCTCCACAAATAGGTGAGCAAATATCTGTAAGTTCACGTGTAGATGCAGTATTGGCAGTTGCATTATCAAAAGGAATGGAAAACACTCTTTTACCAATTTTATATTTGTCCAAAATTTTAGAAATTAAACAAGCAATATTAGATGCAGTGTGACGTTCATGAAATGCAACATAAGCGATTAAACGTTTTTGCAAACTCTAAGTTTCATCAATCCAATGACAAGTAATTCCCAAATAGGAGTTAGTTTGTCAATGATCAGACCATATATCAGCACAAATAGATACTCTATGATTTAAAGATTTGAAAGTTTCTTGCAAAATTAATTTTTTTCACTAACAATTTTTCGAATATCGCGAGAAAGAGTAATACGTGGAACCCGGGTGGCAGCCGGATTCAAAGCCATTTGAGCAAAATTTTCATACAAATCACTATCACGAAAACTAAATGGAAGAGATGAGGCAGAAACAAATTCAGCTAAATGACGTCTATGATTATCATGCGAGTAATGAAAGAAAGATGGTGTACTTGTACCAGTGCCGGATGCAGAACTGCTGCAAGGGAATTGCGTCTGTGCCATGTCGACTCCCAACGTATGCGGGTGACAACTCTTTAGGTGTTGAGTCAAGGATCCGTACTCATCGCCTTTTTTAAAATGATATTGCTTCTTGTCGTTAGACGGACAATGGTTGCAGACTGCTAAAAAACAATTCGGACCTTTTTGCGGATTTGGGATCTTCTTGTAATGTCGTTGGAAGATGTCGGACCCCTTATTGCCACCCCTACCCGGACCACGACCATAGACAAATGATGGGTGGTGCATGTCCGCCTCATGCTGCGTCTCTTGCTGGATCTCGTCCGGGCTCGTTCCAAATAGATCATCTAAATGGTCGTGATAAGGCTTCTGCTCGGGCTCTTGTTGTCCAGACTGAACTGAGTCAAACAAGGCTTCTATTGTTGCTTCATCAATATCATTTGGGACAGAAGAAACATTAACATATATAGATGGACTGACAAATTCAGGAAGTGGAGGTACTGAGGAAGACGTGCCGACATTTCTCCGTTTATTTCCGGAAGTCAAACCACGACCACCACCACGAGAACTTGACATTTTTTTAGTATAAAATAAAAATTGTAGAATATGTATAAAAAATAATTACAATAAAAAAATATAAAATATAAATTTAATATAGATTATAAAATACAAAATAAAAGATTTTTTATGTATATTTTTTTTTGTATATATATAT